ATAGGTTTACGACAATGTTGTGGCCAGAGGCTCACAGGAAGCTAACCCTGTATTTCCCCTGGAGCAATGGTCCTGTAGTTGCCAATTCAGGTTCACGGTGACTTTATAGACCATAACTACCACGAATAACAAGAATCAACTGTAATTTGATTTAACTGTAGCTTTGTTCAAACTTTGAAAGATCTTAAGTAAAGATGTTTTCATAGTGGGAGGAGCTTTGGACCAAGAAAGAAGCCCTTCCTAGGTTCTAGGCCCAGCTCTGCCCCATCCAGCAGTATGACCTGGACAGTATCCCTTCCTCTTTTGTACAGTGAACAGGTTAAACTCACCCTCCACCCTCACTCACACCCCCGCAGTATGAGCCCGTTTTTCAGTTGGCCCAGGCAGACTCAGAGCTCATCAGGCTGTGCAAGCAACTTGAAGATGCCTGGTTAGAGTTTTCACTATATCAGAGACTCCAAAGCAGATTCATTTTGGGATCTAAACTTTAAACTTATGTCATTCAGTCAAGATAATAAAATAGACTTGATGATTTCAAATACACTGTGGATTTACTGGATTAAAAACAGAAACATCACAATTCCACTGAGAGTGGAAGGAATCCATGAGGACCTAACAGTCTTCCTCAAATATTAGAAGGATTTGCTCCATGTTGGCCTAGGGGATTAGAGGAAATTTGGACAATTGGTAAAAACTAGAGAAAAACATTGTAATTCAAGTGTTTGTCTCTAAACTAGATGCTATTTTATGATAAATAATTGGTGAGATGCTTAATTGTTTTTATACATAAGTAGAAAAGAGAGAAGAACTTTAAGATGGAATTTTAAAAGCCAGTGAAACAACAATCATTAAGCTGACAGTACAGGTAATTTGCCTTCATTACCACCCTTACCTGAAATCAACGTCACCGTACAATTTTCCTTGGTGTTGTTGATTAAGTAGCATGACATATAAAATATAAGCATGAAATAATAATTTATAGAAAGCAAGAAGGCTTCACTTACCCGAAGGAGGCTCAATCACAGTAAGGTTTACAGCGACAGACTTGTGAATGTGTAGACCCGTCGCATTAGCCACGCAAGTCAAAGTCCCATTGCCTTGTGGCGTGAGAGAGAGGATGCTCACTGCACTTTGAAGGTCGTCAGGCTCCGGGAAGGAGTAATAGTTGGAATGGCTTACGGGAACACCGATCTCCCAGGCAATATCTGGGAGTGGAACCCAACCCACTGCACGACAAGTAACATTACAGGGTTCATCCTCAGTGACTACAAGACTGCTGGGAATGAGCAACGTTCCCATAACTAAAGAAGAAAAAAGAGAAACATTCTGAGAAAATGACAGTTACCCTCAGTTCCAGGTGTTCTTTTTTTTTTTTAAGTTTTGCTTCAAATCGCATTTCATGAGAGACACCTTTCCAAGTTGAACAAGGCTCTGACTGTAATTGGGAAAACTTAACTCACGTTTTAGCTGTGTCTTTATTTATATCTGCTAACTTCCCTGGAGAAGGTGAAGATGCTTACCAGAAAATATATAATTACGGAGAAAATGAATGAGTAAAAGTCAGGAGCCAGGGGAAGATAAGTGATATGTGAAAGAGAACGCAGAAGCATATACCTTTGGGGCTATACAATCGCTGACACAAAGTTGCAAATTTTCTTGGACTGCCCTAGCAGCCCAACCCTTTCATTCTTTTCAATGAAAGGAGAACACATTCCAGAAACTTATAGGAAGTGATCTTTTCCCGGCATTTCGTTAAACCAGTTGCCACGGAGTCAACTCTGACTCATGGCACCCTCATGTATGTCAGAGTAGAACTGTGATCTGTAGGGTTTTCAATGGCTGATTTTTCACAAGTAGATCACCACGACTTT